ACACAATCATGTCATTTGTATCAACATTAGTACAATTTGGCTTCAAAGAGTAGGCCCTGCCGATAAATTTGTACAAAATGGACTTACACACCTAAGTGAAGCTTTTTGTTTAGGGAATCGGAAGTACTCGCACTCAGAGATGCATGTACAAGTACTCATGCGTTTAAGTACTTGTACTTGAAAACCAGTACCTCGGTTGGCAAAGTACTCAGACTTTTATGTACTCAGACATCTAAGTACTTGGCAGTACTCTGTACTCGGAAACAAGTACTCGACTAAAAGCACTGCAACATACTCAGCTTCAACTCATGGAGTAACATATTCTATCTGTCTGTCATTTATGTTGGGTTGAATCTGTTTTAATAGATGCCATGTATGAATTCTTTACCAGTAATTTCAGCAAGAGGCTACTTATCCGTATCATGTCTTTCCCAATGTTCATTTTATCAGTACAACAAGGGCACTACTAGATTGCCCTGATAGGCACACATGTTTTGGGGGAGTACTTGATGCATTCATCAAAGCTTTTCAAATAGTTTTGTAAACTTGTCTTTTCTGGGTATTTTTTGTTTTTACTTGAAACACATTTTTTCTTTTTAGTGTTATCTGTAAGTCTCTCAAATTTTGTCAGTGCAAATGGTACAACAGTATTGATACAGATTGAGCATGAGGCATGATCAGTCATTACAAATGAACATGGTCATCTCTACATTTGAAATTAAGGCAGGCCTACACTCTCTTTATCTACAAACACTAAAATGAAGGATATGCATATTTTCTTAATCAAGGGAAGACAATGCTGTATATTTCTCTGTAGTTTTCAACAAAGTGCACTTCCAAGCCTTCTGTGATGAAATTTGGCAGGTCCGAAAAGTCTTTTCTGTTCTCAGCTGGGAGTAGGATGCAGTCAACACCAGCCCTGCGAGCCTGTCAAGAGAACAACAAAGCAATTCTCAAGCATTTTCTGTTTTAGAGGTCATCTTAAATGTAAATTCTCTGTCAACAGTTAAAAAGAAATAAATTTCTTTTTTTAACCATGGTATAATGAAGTGGATGTTCTTATCCTCATCCATGCCTCAAATTTAAACTTCATATTTACGTCCACTCATTCTCACTTCTAAGAAAAATCATTCAAAGGCCGAAATTAATCTAAGTCATTTTCTACAACTAAGTGTTTGATTATTGATTTTTTTCAAGACAACCTGAATTCGAAATTGACATGGTTCTTATACACCTCTTCTGACAACCCTTACTGACCTACATGTTTATCTGTATGGTGTTTTGCGAGACAAATCTGGCCAGACTGTCTAATTATTCCATTATTTATGCTGACATTTCTAATGGTTTAATCACCAGTACAATGACAACAGCCAAGTTTGCTTAGAGCTGCACATGCGGTGGACAGTCACCAATACTTTTCTTGTGTTAATCTCCACGAAAGTTGGTATTTATAGATGTATATCAAATCATTTTTTTTCAAGATTCAAGTTAACAGCACTGGTCTAAATGATAGAATTTTTAGGGTGTAGAATGTTTTTTTATGTTGATGTTCACAAGCCAAACAGCGATATCATTTTAAGGCAAAGGCTTCAATGAAGTCTTCTGCAGTACAGGCCTTCTGCAGTACAGAGGTCGTGCATGGCCGGCGTACACGTATTCTGGGTTACTCATTTTGATAGAATGGGATTGCATTAAAGTCTGCTGGTTGTGTATCCGTGGCTCTCACCAGAAAAATGGCTGCCATTCACAATCTCTAAGCA